ATCCAACAACAGCCTGTGCTGGGATTGTCCCCATCCAGGGGCAGGACCTTGCCCTTGGCCTGGTTGAGCTCCAGGAGGTTCACACGGTCCCACCTCTCCAGCATGTCCAGCTCCCCCTGGATCCCAGCCCTTCCCTCCAGTGCGTGGCTCACACCACTCAGCTCCGGGGCACCAGCAGACTGCTGAGGATGCTCCATCCCACTGTCCATGTCACTGACAGAGATGTTGAAGATGCCCAGTCCCAACACCACCACCACCTGATGAACACCACTCCTCACTTGTCTCTACTTGGTCCTTGAGCCATTGGCCACAGCTCTTTGGGTGCAATCCAGCCAATTCCTTACCCACCGAGTGGTCCATGGGTCAAATCCCTGTCTCTCCAGTTTATCTCATTGTAACTTATCACTAACTTACAGTAAGTTTTCAGAGCAAACCATCCCAGCCTGGTGTTTCCCTTCTCCCACAGACAGAAAGGCAGCCCTGGAGGCAGTCATGAAAACTCTGGGACCTGGCTTTGTAGCAGCATTCAATAAACATAAGTCACTTCAAGCAGCTGGACAAGGATCTTCAGGATCAGGAAGATCCTCCAGCTCTCAAGGACTCCTGGGGAAGGTGTCTGGAAGCCTGAAGAAGTTCCTGAAAGCAAGTGTTTCTTCAAAGGCCTCGAAAGATGGGGCTGGGTCAAGTTCTTCACCTGCTGAAGCTGATGATTTGCCCCAGAGTGAAGGGGCAGAAGAGGGGGAGGAAAGTTTACCCCCAGGAACTGGTGCACCTCGTCCAACTTCTTACAACAGGGTGAGTTTCTTCATGTTTCCCTCTGAGATAGTAAGAGTTTGGTTGGTTTCTCATTGTTGGGGGATCATGTGGGGAGATGAACCATCCTGTTTGCTGATTCCATGCGATAGATAGTGACAGCTTAATGCAAAGGGTTGCAGCTGCAGGTAAGTATGGTCATCTCCATGGCAAGGGTCCTTCAGAAAGGGCAGCAAAACCTCTCTGGTGCTTTCCAAAGCAGAAAGAAATGTCACTTCAATGTGGGTCCTTGTTCTACTGGGGCCTGGTTTGGATGGAGGGAGAGTGATGGGCTCTGTTTGGAGCAGGGAAACTTACTGCTGCTGTAAGAAGGCTCTTTTAAGCCATTGTCCATCATCCTGACCTTTGGGTCTCTTGGGGACACCACCTATAAACCAGATGGTGTTTTGGTTACGGGATGCATTCATAGTTTCAGCCTTTAGATGATAAGAAGAGGATATGTTACCTAGTGCTGTTGGAAGCTAATGGATAGTGTTGGAAGGAGCAACCTGCTCTAGTGGAAGGTGTCCCTGCCCGGGGCAGGGGTTGGAGCTGGAGGAGCTTTAAGGTCCCTTCACCCCAAACAAGGCTGGGATTGTGTGATTCTTGGGGTCCTCTCTGCTGGTCCCACAGCTTTGGAGCTGTGCTGGTTCCAGCTGGGATAGAGTTAATTCTCTCCCTGGTCCCAGGCCTCAGGCTCTTTTGGCTTCCCTCTGAGAACAACGCTGATAACACCCGATGTTCAGTTGTTGCTCAGCAGCACTTGCCCTGATGAAGGACTGTTCAGCCTCGTGCTCAGTGAAGGGGCACAAGAAGGCGGGAGGGAGCAGAGACAGAAGCCCTAAACCCCAACCACCCAAAGGGTCAGCCTGGGTAGAGAAACAGGGGGAAGTGGCCGGGAGCCCCCGATGGCGTCTGGGTGTGGGCAGCGCTCGGCCGTGGTGAGAACATGGTCGTGCATCACTGCTCTTCACTGGGGTTTTGTTTCTCTTTCCCCTCTAATTCTATATCTCTCTCATTATTTCCCTTATTATTACCATCATTAGTATTGTGTTGTGCTTCAGTTATTAAACTGTTCTTATGTCAATGTGGCTTTTACCTTCTCCTCCCCGTCCTGCCTGGCACAGGAGGAGGGGGTGGGGAAGCTGCTGCGTGGTACTTCAGTTGCCAGTCAGGTTTAACCATGACAGAGCTTTAAGGTCTCTTCCAACCAAACCATCCTGTGGTTCTGTGACGATACCCCACTGAACCAGGCATCTACCTTGGAGTCACCTTTGTGGCAGATCCTATTTTCTCCCTTTCACTGGGCTGGCCATGAAAAGTGCTTATTTCTGTCCTGTTGCCTGTTTGCAGCTGCTGAGGGAGGAGCTGCTCAACTGTGGGACCGTGCTGCAGATCTCGGATTTACCAGATGATGGCTTTTCTGATCAGGATATCAAGAAGATCGTGCAGCCTTTTGGCAAAGTCAGTGACCTGATTGTGCTTCGCTCCAGGAATGAGGTGAGATTCCCTCCTGTGCAGGGCCTTTGGGTCAGAATGGCAAACCCCCCCCCAATTCTAGCAATGAAAAGTGTGATGTTTGGATCTGCAGGTGAATGTAGGATAAGGCTTCCTGGACAGTTCATCATTACAGCTCACATACAGAGTCTTGGAAGAGCTGGAACTGTTAACTTTATAAATTCAGCTTGCTACCCAAGCTAGTAACTGTTAGAGGAAGTAGGATGCCTTTGGGACATTTAGATTGGATATTAGGAAGACTTCTTCATCAAGACTGTTGCCAAGCACTGCAACGGACTGCCCAGGGCAGTGGTGGAGTCACCCTCCCCAGAGAGATTTAACATACATGTAAGTAGGACATCCTGCATCCAGCTCTGGGGAACAGCACAAGAGGGATGTGGAGCTGCTGGAGCGAGGCCAGAGGAGGCCCCGGAGCTGCTGCGAGGGCTGGAGCAGCTCTGCTCTGGAGCCAGGCTGAGAGAGCTGGGCTGGGGCAGCTGGAGAAGAGAAGGCTCCTCAAGGGGACACCTTAGAGCAGCTCCAGGGCCTAAAGGGGCTCCAGGAAACCTGGAGAGGGGCTTTGGACAAGGGATGGAGGGACAGGACAAGGGGAATGGCTTGAACCTGCCAGAGGGGAGACTGAGATGAGCTCTTGGGCAGAAGCTGTTCCCTGTGAGGGTGCTGAGGCGCTGGCACAGGGTGCCCAGAGAAGCTGTGGCTGCCCCATCCCTGGCAGTGTTCAAGGGCAGGTTGGACACAGGGGCTTGGAGCAACCTGCTCTAGTGGAAGGTGTCCCTGCCCGGGGCAGGGGTTGGGGCTGGAGGAGCTTTAAGGTCCCTTCCAACCCCAAACCACTCTGGGGTTTTGTGTTTTAGTGATGGACTCAGTAGTACTGGGTTAATGGGGTGGATACTGTCCTGGGTTCAGCTCCAGCAGTCATTTTTCTCCTTCTCAGTAGCTGGTGCAGTGCTGTGTTTTTGACTTTCAGCCTGGGAACAACGCTGATAACACCGATGGTTTTCGTTGTTGCTCAGTGATGTTTACTCTGACCAAGTACTTTCTCAGTCTCATGCTCTGCCAGAGATGAGGGGACGCCGGG